ATTTTTGAGCTATATTTACATATAAATGTTAATAAACCCATATATTGAGCTGAAAGATCTGATATGGAAGACTGTGAACCAAGTCAATGGATTTAGCAGGGGAGGTGCTGAGATCTGATGTAAAGGCTGTCAGCACCAAGAGAAAGATCTGGAACTCAACCAGGGAGAGAAGGGAGAGAATTAATTCCATTGGGAGGCCACAGGTTTGGGGCTGAACCTTCTCTGAACTGAGGCTTTACTCTGGCCTAAGGAAAAAGTTGTTTCTCTCCACTCAGACAGATGAACACATGACCCCTTCCCACAAGTCTTTCTGCACTTTTGAACAGGCTTCTACCTGAAATATGTGTTTTCCATCACTGTTTCATTCCAAAATCATCCGAGTAGCATTGCCATGTCATCAGGAGAGGAGAGCTCAGTCAGCTGGAATGGTGGGAATGTTCCCAGCCCTGATTTAGTTATTTCTCTTTATCTCACCAAAATTTCCATACTAACTCTGTTTCAGGCAGAAAACAGATGTCAGTCTTGCTTTAGGAAGTTCATGAGATTAAGAAAGAGAGAAAATACCTCATATTTAATGTACTGGATGTTTAAGAACAGCCCTATAAACTGTGCCTTCAGCTTTAGCCCTCAGTCTCCTCATTGCCATGGACGGGTTATTCCAGCAGTGCTCCAAACTGCTGCCTGGTGCAGGAAACACAGGAGAGGTTTTGCCTCCTAAAAGTTCAAGTTATTGATGCTTTATAGATAAAATCTTTACCTAATTACAGCCATTCTTTTGGGCACAGTAATGTTTAATTCGTATAAACCAGACTTGCTGCACTTAAAGGGGCCAGAAAGAGAAAGGAAAACTTATTTGCCAATGAACTTACAAAGAATCCCAGGATGGTTTGGGTTGGAAGGGACCTTAAAGCTCATCTAGTTCCACCCCTGCCTGGCAGGGACACCTTCCACTAGCCCAGGTTGCTGACCTGGTTTTACTCAGTGCTTAAAAACCATGATGAAACCATTTTAAAGACTTATTTTTAAGCAGCAATTTAAAAACTTTTCTTTTTTGCAACTGGTTGTTCCTCTGTGGGTGAAATAAGTTATTTTTCAATGCATTTACAAGGCACTGCAATGCCCATTAGAGTGGTGGAGCTCTGGAATTATCAATATTTACTCTGTTTCTGTTACAATGATGGATCATTTGTAATTTAAAAATGTAGCAAGGCCAATCAGTGGCTCATCTGCATCCCAGTAATTATATGCAGCACATTAGCAAGGTATGAATTTACTTGGTACTCCTGGACTTGCTTAATCAAATAAATGATGTGATGCATGAAATAAGAGAAAATGTAGGATCCATTATGTCAATGATAAACATTTTCAAATTACAAAAAAGACAATCCAAGCTTTGATTGATATTTTATTTAAAAAAATGTAAAATGTGATTCTTCCAAATTTTGGAGAAGCTCAGGAGTTCTCTCTGAACAACTTTTACATGTTGTTTAGTCTGATTCTTCCCTGTGTTGCTGCCCAACCCCTGAGAACTCCAGAAAAGCTGGGCTTGCTCCAGGTGCACCAAGTCTTTGGGATGTGTGGGAATGCTGGAGCTGCTCCCAGACATCCAAAGCCCAGGAGCTGGGCTGGCATCACAGGGCATGTCCTGGATGCAGCTGCGTGGATCCAATCGTGGCACAGACAGATCCAAGTCTGGCATTTTGCTGGATGAATTAAGTTGCAGGGACTGTACAAAAGTAGGTATAAATCAAATAAAAGCAGGCGTTGAGGAGTGTCCTGGAGGCTCCAGCGTGGAGGAGGAGCCCAGGGAGCATCTCCCATGGACTCAAGCAGCCCCATGGCTTCTCCAGGCCAGAAATATTGTCTTCCAAAGCTCCCCAGGCACTGGTGGGGACAGTCACCCCAGCATTGGCTCATGCTGGACTAACCACCAGGCAAACCCTGCCAGGGACCTGGAGGGGGCTTGGCTTCCAAAAGCACTCGGTTCTCCTGCTCTAATCAAAGCTGACAGATGCATAAATTGCTGGAATCACCAGAGTTAGTTACATTAAATACCTGGAAATGAGTTGCTGACTGACAAGCTCTAAAATTTCCAACTAAAACCCCAAAGTAAGCTTTGCCTCCGTGTTAAACCACTTCAGATTGAGGAGTGGCCTGGAAAATACTGCCCTGGGTGAGCACTGGGGACCAAAGGGCAGCACCTCGGGACAGAGAATTATGGAGCAAGGCTGTTGTGCCCAATAAAATAAGGGAAAGAGCTGTTTCTCCCTGGCACTTTTATAACTTGTGTGCATTCTCAGTACTGCACCCTGTTAAATTTTTCAAGCCCATTACTTGCAACTGCTTTGCCTTATTCTGTTAGTTAAAAAGGAAAGAAAAAGGTATCACTCCACTGCAAATACTTGATCTTTAGAAACTGTGCTCCAGGTAGAAACCAGGGCCTGTTCTGTTAATAATTCAGCCAGATGGAACATGGAGAAAACGCTGGCTTGGATCACCAAATTAAGGTCTTATGAATAGAGGGTGAAGCTATAAAAACATTTTGCAGTAGAATTTAAGGGCAGAGACTAATTTTGTTCCCACTGATGCCACAGACTCGTCCTGCCTTCCTCAGGAGGAGAATTAGGCCAAACCAAAATAGGCCAGTCCAGTCTTTTCCTTCGGTGCCATATGTAGAAATATGAAATAGGACATCTAAAAGGCCAAACCAAATTTGAATAAAGTTGCAGGGTTTGAAGCAGCAAAGAATAAGAGAATGGGGTTCAGGACTTTCACATGGGGACCTCTCAGCCCTGCATGGAGGAGTGTTCCACTCTGACCTTATGGAGCCCATTAGTGAGGGACTTAATTACTCAGCTACAGGAAAAGAGCGAGCCTGGGCAGGTCTTGGAATAACTCAGCACATCTGCAGGGACTGGTTCTTAGCAAAGCTGTCTCGTGGTGTCTCTGTGCAGAATTTACACCCTCCCAGCCTCAGGGAAGCACCATTAGTTCCTCCAACAAACCCATTCCTAAGCCAACTCCATGATTCCCTTTACTTTTGCCCATCTCTCTTCCCATGGTGGGCACATGTTATTGTAGAGACAGAACAGATCATGGGTGTTTTTGCAGTGGCCTTGCTTGGATTTCTGTCCTGGTAGAGCAGATGTGGGGTCTGGCTCCTCTCCTCTCCACCTCTCTGCTCCCCCAGGAGCCCCACAGGCACTGCCAACCCCTGTAACACAGGAAAACTATCCCAGCTCCAAAGTTCCCTTTTGTGGAGAGCTCACAGCTTATTTTTAAGAAAGCTGTGTTGAAGGCATGACCCTGCTAATGACTTAACTGCTCTCACAATTCCTGGGAGCATCCTGCATCTCCATGATGGCAATTCCAACTGGGAGAAGATGCAGGAACCAGGCGTGGAGAGGCTGAAAGGCAGGTTCCCTGTCCCTCAGCCTTGTGCCAGCAGAGAGGAGGAGGGAGGGATTTTTCTGCGCTTCCAAAAACTTTATACATAGATTTTCTTCAGTTCCCTGTCTACAAAATGTCTGCCAGGAAAAAAAATCTGGAGCTTGGCAGGATGAAGCCTCACACGTGTATTGTTCGTGTAACTATGGTAACCTACAAATGCCACCAGTGTTTCCATTTCATACACAAATGAGGGGACAGCTGTGGGGACCACATGTCTGCCAATGGAATAATATATGTGAACTAGGATGGCTTGGTCACAAAATTACAACTCATCTATATTAATCAGGGCTTCAAAGAACAGGCACCTCCAAGGCGACAAAGTGCCCGGGGAGAGAGGGGGGTTTATTTCTGGAAATCTTTGGCTCCTCCGTAAATATTTTCAGCATCTTGCTACTTTGCTGGTTGAAAAAATAAAGTCAAATAAATGCTGTTAACAACCAGCACTCTTTTACAAATGTCACTTAACTCTTTTCCTTTGGTTTTGTCTCTTTCTGGTGCCTGAGCCTGACACAAAGCCCAGCCTGGGACCAGGCATGTGCTCCAAGGCCTGGGGAAGGAGCAGCTCCTGAAGAAGCAGAACTAACGTGGCACAGAGCTCTGCAAACAAAACCTCTATTTTCACTCATTGAAATCATTAGCAGAAATAAAAGCTTCAAAATAATTCCTACACAAAGCTAAAAAAAAAAAAATCTTAAAATATTGTTTAAATGAACTTGTGGAGTTTATATCATCCCTGACAACAGCAGAAAGAAACCTGCAGGCTCAGTGATGCAAATAAATCCCCTTTCCAGCAAATACCAAGCCGTGGGAGCTGCAGTAGCAGCAACACTTGACCCGGGTTATGATTCATCCAAGGTGCTTTGAGTGTCCCTACAAATGAAATCATGGAGAGGGAATTCGCCGCCCGCCTTGGCAGCAGCAGCCAGGCGGGTGCAGCAGGAATCCAGCAGGAACACAGCAAAAGTTTTCCCTGGCTTCTGCAGTGCCCCGACACTGTATCTCAGGGAAACAAAGGGCTGCAGCATCCCCTGGGCGTGGGCTGTGCCTCCTGCACCCCCAGGCACAGCTCCGGGCACAGGGGCAGCCATGGGATGATGGCAGAGCTTCACACGGGGCTTATTTAAAAGACCCCCGTTTGCTCCACGAGCTGGAACCAAATGCACAGATAGAACCATGGAATCACAGAATGGTTTGGGTTGGAAGGGACCTTAAAGCCCATCCAGTGCCACCCCTGCCATGGGCAGGGACACCTTCCACTAGCCCAGGTTGCTCCAAGCCTTGTCCAACCTGGCCTTGGACACTTCCAGGGATGGGGCAGCCACAGCTGCTCTGGGCAACTGGTTTTAAACCCGGGCTCTGTCACCTCTGAGGTTGTCTGAGCCCTGCTCAGACCCCTGAAACTTCAGAAGAAGTTTCTTTCTGCAGCCCAAGTTTGGACATGCCCAGCATTATTTATGGCAGTAAAAGTTGGTTATCCTTTTATAACTGTACAACTTGATGCAAAATCCTCCTTCCTTTAATAACCAGCACCGTTATTTGTGTCTGTTCCAGGTGAATGGAAACAACTTTCCAGTCATCCAGTAACTGGTCCGTTCAAGTCCAAAATGCCTCCTGGGAGAGATCATTTTGCAGGGGCTACATCAAATGTCGTGCAGGTAACTTTTAGCTGTCGAGGCAGAAGTTAAAGTGGAGCTTTTGTCACGGGGCAGTGACACACGTGGCTGCAGAGTAGAGGGACAGGGGGCACCGGGGGCACCAGCTGTGCCCTGCCCAGGGGGTGAGAGCCATGGGCTGAGGGACAGAACAGCCCTGACCTCTTCACTCCTCACATCTGGGAAGCTCCGGGCATTGGTTTGTCTCCCTGCGTCTGTCTTTTAAATTACTGTAAATTCTAACTTGCAAGATTTTGGGACATAATTGGGTAGGATCCTTTGGACAACATTGGGACTGATGCCCTATGTGACTTGGGTCACTGGAAGCCTCTGGGAGCTCCCGTGGGTACCTCTGAGCAGTTCACCAGAAAAGGTTTATGATCTCCTGTAGAAAGATCATGTTCCTTTTACAGCGACCCTTTAAGCCCGTAAGGAAAAGACTTAAAGGTTCACAAATTAGTTTTTATTGAAGGGCTATCATGCTCTTCATTACCAGGGAGCTATCACGCAGCTCCAGGACAAAAATAGAAGCTCCCCGTGCGTGATCTCTCACCTCTGGACAACATTATTGTCTACTTTGAGTTTAATTCTGTTACTTTCCCTTTCATCGCCTGGTGGGAAAGGCGCCCCGAGTAACTTGGGGGAGAGCTAAGATCGCAGGCCAACATCTGTTGTGCGGCCCCGGTGATGCTGAGCCCGCGGCACAAAGCGCCTCGTCCTCTCCCTCCTCCTGCAGGGGAGAGGGGCCGGCCCCGCGCTCAAAGGGCCCTTTGACAGGGGCGACAAAGGGGCGGCAGCGGGGTCGGTCCCTTTGTCCGCCCGCGGCTGCGCGGGGAGGGAGCGGGGGTGAGAGACCCCCAACCCCGGGGGCCGAGGGGACCGCCAGACCCCGAGCTAGAGACCCCCAAACTCGGCGGGAGAGGGACAGCCAGACCCGGGGGCAGGGGACCACCAGAGCAGGGGTGACGATCCTCCGCCGCCGCGCCGCTGCCCCGCGCTTCTCCCCGCACCTCTCCGGTACCCGACTCCCCAAATCCCCCCCAGCCCGCAGGTGCGGTGCGGCCGGGCCCCGTTGGAGCATCTCTGCCGTGCCCCGCGCTCTCCGCTCCCGGTCCCGCAGCCCCAGGTGCGGGGCGGCCGCTCCGCCCGCAGCGCCCCGCGCACAGAGCCGCGGCCGCGGGAGGAGGCGGCGGAGCCGCGGCCGCGCTCACACTGCGCCTTTATGCCGCTTTCTGAAGGGCCATTGTCACACTGAAGGCTCCTTGTCTGCTCGCATTCCTGCGGGTGAATGGATGAGGCAGGACATCTGCCGGGATCCGCTCCCATTCGCATGCAAATAGGGACGCGGGCAGCGCTGCCGCACCGCCAGCCCCGCGCCCACCGCCGGCACCCGGGCACCGATCCGCCCCCAAACCCCGCGATCCGCCGCCAGACCGGCCCGGGGGACAGCGGAGCGCCCGCGGGGAGGAGGCGGGCGATGCTGCAGCCGAACCCCGCAGCCCCGGCGGTGCGGGGCGGCCGCAGCCCCGGGGCGGTCCCGGCGCGGTGCCGAGCGGCCGAAACCCCGCAGCCCGCGGGGACTCCCCCGGCAGCCCCGGGGGGCACCGGGGGGCGCGTCCGCCGCCGCAAACTTTGCTCCCTCCGCGGGATCTCCCCGGGCGATGTGCACTGCACATCCCCGCATCCCAGCGCGCATCCCCGCATCCCAGCGGAGCGCACCGCATCCCAGCGCGCATCCCCGCATCCCACGGCGCATCCCGCATCCCATCGGAGCGCCCGCACCCGCGCAGCTCCCGGGGGTCCCGCTCCCTGCCCCGAGCCGCTCCGCACTCACCGCCGGCCGGGCGCTCCCGCGGGGCTTCCCCGGGGCTGTACATCCGCCGCTGCCGCCGCGCTCCCGCCGCGCCGGGATGCGGAGAGGGGCGACGGGCTGGGTGGGTGGGTGGATGGATGGATGGATGGATGAATGGACGGGTGTGTGGGTGGGCGGACGGCCGGCTCCCGTCCCCGCGCCCCGTCCCCCGCCCCGCCCGGCCGGAGCTCTCCCGTCCCCGGTCCCGCCCGCTCTGGAGCCGCTGCCGCGCGCACCTGGGAAGGCGCCGCGGGTCACGTGACAGGCCCCGCTCCCATTGGCTGCGCCCCGCGCCGCCACCGGCTGCGAGGGGCGGGGCTCGGCATGGCCCCGCCCAAAGACCACGCCCACTTGCATGGCCCCGCCTCCTTCGGACCGGCGGGTGATCCTGCGGTGCCCAAATCTCCAATTGTCCCTCACCAGGTTCAGGGGAACAGCCCCTGGGGTGCCCAAATCTCCAGTTGTCCATCACTGGGTTCAGGGGAACAGCCCCTGCCAGCGCCTGGGCAGTGTCAGTGCTGCCCTGCAGAACATGCCGTGTCACGGACACACTGTGGATTTTTTTGGGATGACCTGACCATGACAATGTCACCGTCACAAACCCTAACCTGTGTCTGAGGCAGAGCGTGGACCCACCAGGGATCTTTCCACCTGCCCGTTGGACCCCGCTTCTAAATTTCTTCAGACTTCATTAGAAGTGACACAGAGGGGTGGTGACAAAGTGCTGTGGCCTGCCAGGATTCCAACATTGGGGTTTCTGTGATGTGTAGAGAGGAAAACCTCAAGCCATGGAGATGGGAACTCGCTGTGCCCCACAACTGAGGTTGCATTTGTGTGTCCTCCAGGGCTGCTCAGTGAGGGATTGATGAGTTAGCCAGGAGAAAAATAGGCTACAACGTCCACCTGGTTTCAGCCTGGAGAAGAGGAGACTGAGGGGAGATCTCACAGCTTCTCCTGAGGGGCAGTGGAGGGTCAGGTCCAATCTCTGCTCTGCTCCCTGTGACCAGGGACAGGACCCAGGGAATGCCCTGGAGTTGTGCCAGGGCAGGGTCAGGTTGGATCTCAGGAAAAGGTTCTTCCTCCAGAGGGTGGTTGGGCACTGCCCAGGCTCCCCAGGGCAGTGGGCACAGCCCCAAGGCTGCCAGAGCTCAGGGAGGGTTTGGACAACGCTCTCAAGGACAGGGTGGGATTTGGGGTATCCTAGACAAGGTCAGGAGTTGGACTTTGATGATCCCTGTGGGTCTCTCCCAGCTCAGGATATTCCATAACTCTGTGATTCTGTGAACCGTGGGAGTCATTTGAGCCTGAAATTCACGGATTTAGAGCTGTCTGGGTAAGCCCTTGGATATGTTCCCTCCTGGTTTGCTGACTCTGTTTTCATTTACCTTAGTTCAGAGTTATTGACTTGCACATTTCTGCACCTTTTCTTGTCCTGACCTCGCTCCTCACCCACTTCTCTGGCCCAGCTCCCTGGGTGCTCTGGCTGGAGCCTCAGGTCAGACCTTAAGAACAATTAGTCTGTGTTAGATGAGGAATTTCTGGCTGAAGTTTTGGCACTGATAGAAAAACCAGCTTTTCTTCATACCTTAAAACCTTTATTTCCTGCTTTTTTTTATTACTCACTTAACCAACAGAAGTCAAAGCTGAGGCAGGAGGGTGCTGTGCTGCCTCATCCCTCATGCCCTCTATTAGGATAATGAGAATTCTGTGTTCCTCAACAGGAACTGGTGCTTTTATTGACAGGTAATTGTTGGGGATATCGTTCACCCTCCAGCCCTGCACAAAGTGTTGCAATCACCTGAGCACAGCCTGGATGAAAAGGTGCTGGTTCCTCATCAGGCTGAGCTCAGCACCTCCTCCAGGCACGGCCCAGAGTGGCACCTTCCCAGGAAATGATTTTAAAGATTGGTTAAACAGTTTTTAATATGAGTTAACAATAAGTTAAACACGTGGCAAATACAGTCTGCACTTAATGCTTCAGATTTCCTCCCAAGGCAATGAATTTTTTTCTGGGAGCCCAAAAGGTCATTTGAGTAACAGTAAAAGTGAAGTTTTTCATACATAAGGAAATTGAATTTTCAGAAGGAACTCATCAATGTCCAAAAAGCTGCTCTTCCTTCCACAGGGCCCGTTCTCATCCGTCTGGATGTTCCCTTCCCTTCTATCACTTATTCCTGATGTGGAAGTAATTCAATAGAGGATGCATCTTGGAAAATCCAGTGTTTTGAATGGCTTCAGTTCTTTGTTTCAGGGCAGGGAATTTATTTTCACTTTCTCAGCAGAGCAGACCCATCCTTTCACATGGTTCCAGTTCCATGGGATCCTCCTGCAGCTCTCTGCACAATTCCTTTAACCCCAGGGAGAGCAGTAGGACCTGCAGCCCCCACAGCTGTGTCCTCCTTGTCTCCTGACGGGCTCTGGGCTTTGAGGGAACTGTCTGAGCCCTGTTTCTCACACACACTAATGATGGTGTTGGTGTGAGGCTGCTCTGGTTCCTCAGGAGGCTCCTGGGTCCGTCCTGTGTCTGTGCAGCCCAGAGGAGAGCTGGGGGTCTGGAGCTTCCCAGGGGACAGTGTTCTCTGTCTTTATTTTCCATAAGCAGCTGATCACTTGTCTGTCATTGCAGCAGTGCTGTCTCCACTCCAGGCTTTCCCTGTTTTAAATTACACACACAACAGGCCCCTCCCCTTCCAAGATCCATGAGGAGCTTGTGAAACGATCACAAATAAGGTTCCAAAGCAGAGCTCACACCTCCAAACCCCAAAGCAATCAGGGATGGTTGGAAGCTGCTGAGCAGCTCCCCGAGCTCTCCAAACCCCTCAGGACCACAGAATGGAAACCTTCCTTCGTGGGACAGGAGATTTGGGGTGTCCCTGCTGAGCCATTGGGTGCAGAGCCCTGAGTGCCACAACCAGTCATTCCCTGAACACCTCCAGGGATGGGGACTCCACCACCTCCCTGGGCAGCCCCTGCCAATGCTGGAGAAAAATCCTGCAAGGCACAGATCTGATGGACCTAAAACCTGAGTGTTAAAATTTTACAGTCTTGAGCCGGTGTCTTCATTTCTAGGCAGTTTTCATAACATTGAAACACTGGGAATGAGAATAATGTTGAGATGGAAATTAAAAAATCTTTCATTCCTACAGGATGC